CTCACTGTTGTGGCCTCTCCCGTTGTGGAGCACAGGCTCCAGACGCGCAGGCTCAGCGGCCATGGCTCACGGGCCCAGCCGCTCCGCGGCATGTGGGATCCTCCCGGACCGGGGCATGAACCTGTGTCCCCTGCATCGGCAGGCGGACTCTCAACCACTGCGCCACCAGGGAAGCCCTCTGTGTTACTTTTGTGACTTTTTTTGTACCATAAGCTCTACTCGTTATGGTTTATTGTTTATATTTCTGTTCTCCTTGAAGCCAGGCTAATTCTGTATCTGAAAATCTAAAATTACTCTAAAAGTCTTAAGGAAATGATTACTAACGGGTTATTTCCTTTAGTTTGGATGTCTATATTTAGGACTGAATTTCCTGCACACAAATAACTACTGTATTTTTAAGTTAGATTTGCTGTGGACTGAATGTGCCTCCAAGTTTGTATGTGGAAGCCCTAACCTCCTACGGTGATGGTACAGGAGGTGGGGCCTTGGGAGGGGATGAGGTCATGAGGGTGAGGCCCTCAGGATGGGATCAGTGCCCTTAGGAGACACCACTGAGTTTGCTTCCTTCCTCCCTCTTCCCACTCCCAGACTCTCTCTCTCTCTCTCTCCCCCCCCCTCTCTCTCTCTCTCTCTCCCTCCCCTCCTCTCCTCCCCCCCCCCCCCCCCCCCCCCACCCCCAAGTGAAGACGCAGCCAGAAGGCAGCCCCTGCAAGCCAGGAGGAGATTTCTCTCCAGAAACCAAACTGGTGGCACCTTGATCTTGAACTTCCCGGCCTCCAGAACCAAGAGAAATTCAGTCCATGGTATTTATTATAGCAGCCTGAACTAAGATAAGATTCCAGTTCCTACTGGTACTGTCATTAAAATATCTCTACTTCTATCAGTTGAATATGTAACCATTAAAGTGACCATCTGTGTGACTTTGGGCAAGTTATTTAATTTCTTTGTGCCTTGGTTTCTTCATCTATAAGGATAATAAACTTCCGCACAGGTTTAAATAAGTTAATTATGTAAAGTGCTTCAAAGGTGGCCCTTTTGTGGGAAGTGCTCAGTCACTGTGAGCTGCCGTTGCTGCTGTTATGAAAAAGTATTGCTGAATTCATAGTCCTAGAGCAGAGCTACGTCTCTGCACAAACGTGTAGACTCGTTCTCGAGACATGACCTAGATTGCAGCCGTAGGTTACACTGGTTGGCTTTCATGCATGAAAAGTCTCAAACTCAGGGAGGGTGTCTTCCCCTAAGATGATTCCACAGTTGTGAGTCAAGTTCAACTCTTGGCAATGTTGGAGTGATTAGCATAGCAGTCCCAGGAGGATACACCTGGCTGTCCGTCCCCTGCAAGGTGGGTCTTTCCCTCTTACCGTGTGCCACCCCAGACGGCGCATCTGTGCCCCTCTGTGCAGTTTCACACCTGCAAGGCTCTTGAGGCTCACAGAAGAGCCTGGAACACTCAGGCAGCGCCACATGGAGAAGGCACGGGCCGGTCTAGCACGCACAGTCTGTTTTGTACTCAGAAGCAAAGGAGTGCGAGCTGAACGCTGAAATCCCTGCCAGGCAGTCCAGCCCTCAGGGAGCTGGGACCCTCCCGGCTGAGCTCCAACTGTCCCCTGTGTGTCCACCACGTCGCCATGCCCGTGGGTCGCTGTAAAGCCGGGGAGAAGCACAGAGCCGTTCGGTCAACAGGCGTTCTGCTGCGACCCCTCATCACTTACTCAGTCTCTGCTTTACGGTAATTTTCTCTGAAACTGCACGCTCCCTGCCCCCAGGACGAGACTTTGACAATGAGGGAGCCTTAGCAAAAAAGAGAGAGAAATAAGCCTGGGGCTGTGACGGTGCAGCATCCGTCCAATCAAAGGGAACGCAGGCGAGAACCGCAGCCCCAAGCGCACGGGGGCAGGCAGGACGGTTTTGAGAAAATCCAGGAACTTCTCTGAAACGCAAAGGCACCAGGGGTCCTGTGTCTGCGATGGGGATTCTAGGCACAGTCCCATTCTGACCACTAGCCGTGTGTGGTTCCTTCCATCAGGTTACCCAGCCACAAAGTGTGTGGACCCTCTCCTCGCAACACCTCAAAACCCTGTTTGATGTTCCCTGAATTCTTACCTGACAGGACAGCACTGGGTGGAACACTGGATTGTTTTCCAAAGAAAAAAATGTGAGGATGTTCCCGAAAGCGAGCTTTCTCTGGGACTCCTCCCCCACCCCACGCCCGCTTCTCCCTTAAACAGACCCTTCACGTCTTTTTTTCCTATAACAAAGAAAATTAAGTCAGTTTTTCCACTTTTAAATACAAATGGGAACACAGTATGTTTGCTGATCTGATGAGAATAAATGTCCTGGTCCAGGAGAAGGGAGCGTACAGTGCGGGTGGTACCCGAGAGGCCTCCAGAGCGAGGAAACGAGGCTGCCACCTGAGACTTAAACCATACGCAGCACAGAGGGCGTCACCTTGAGGACCCCCGGCTGAGCGTGGATTTGGTGGGAAACCGAAGGAAAAGCTGTGCTGTGACATGCGCACCCTGACACGGCCCCGAGGAGGGCGCCTGGCCTGGGGACATGGAGTTCTGGTGCCTCAGCCGTCTTGTCTGTGAGGTGCAGGTGGGGTGATGGTTAGAAGCACAGGGTCTGTTACTATGTGACACTGCAGGGCTCCCATTTCTCTGTGCCTCGGTTTCCTCTTCTGGAAAATGAGGCTAATGATCTAGTTGTGAGAAGCAGATAAATTCATCTGTGTGGATTTCTCAGCACCGCACCCAACTCAGAGGAGGCGTAAATACTCGAGGTGGGCCCATCAGGTCATCACAGCCCGACGCCCTTAAACACCTGGGTCAGCCCTCGCCTGCCCTCGCCCGGGTTCCACCTTCACCCGGGGCATCTTGCTTAGTGGCTTCTGGTGTGCCCGTCACCAGGGGGACAATCCGCTGGCCCTGCTGCAGAACACTTCTTCCACACGGCCGTGGTGACCCCGACTGACGCTGGCATTTGGGGATTCGGGAGGCGTGTTCATGAGACCCCGTGGCTCTGCGTCCGAGCAGCCCGGGTCTTGGCCTGCCCTTGATCCGAAGCCCACGGAGCACCACACGCCTCACACCCATCCGAGATTGCCTTACCTGTGACGTGGAGCTTTTCCTCGGTGACCTCGGCCTTCAGGTAGATCCGGCCCCTCTTCTCCGTGTGGTCCATCCCGCAGAGGCTGGGGACGTTTATCACACACTGCTTGTGCACGTTCATGTCACAGGCTGCGAGTCAAGAAAGCAAAGGGTGAGGCTGGGCGCGTGGCCTGGAAACACCCCTCCCTCGGTGTTTTGGCTGCATGAACAGAAGTGAAAATGAGCCACCCTCTGACTCGATACTCTGCTGTAATGCTTTTGTGACATAAAGAACTGTTAGCAGATGTCCCTTACAGCACAGGCTGCATGACAGCGACAGTGTCCTTAGAATACGCGATCCATACTTGTTCAGTCTTAACTGAAGCAAGACACCCCCCTGTCTTCTGTGAACGCTTCCAATACATAACAGCACACAAAATCCACACAGGTAAATGCATGTAGAGCGCAGACTAATTACTATTTATGTACACAGAGGCAAACAGCACGCACATTTTAAACAGACGACTCTTTCTGCCAAGAATTTCTTATGCCTTTCTGAGAATTTGCAGGGTTGAGTAAAGGAAATTCAGAAAATGTTCCTTTCCTCAGTAAACCGTATTTCCAAGGAGGCTTAAGTGCATTGCTTTTGTTTGTTGTTGTTTTTAAAAGAACCTGTGCTTGATATGTTAAACCTGTCTTCAGATATTTAAATATTATTCTGAGTAAAACAAATACACGCCTGGCATAAGCCATTTCTCACCAGCTGACATTACGTGGGCCAGACGGGGGTGGGGGTTGGGGGGGAGGATTAAAAAAAGATCAGTCTTACTGTAATGGACTAAAGGAACCCTGAAGAGAGTCCGGTGCACTGAGCACAAACAGAAGACTGTGTAGGTGTTTCAGCTCTACTGGCCCTGTCCCTTCAGGCTTCCAGAAGGAGGGGCGGCCCTGGGACGCTTGTGAATCCTGCAGGGGGTGCTACAAGGCTCTTCTGAGCCTCCACGCCCCTTTCCTCTTCAGTGGCTAATTCTAACGTGGTGAACTACACAGCAAGCAGCATCATGGACAACGGATCTCTGCTACGGTTATTACACACCGAGAGCAGGAAAAGGGACACAACGAGGGAAGCACGATTAACGTGGATTCATTCCCAAAGGGAACCGTTCAGAACCACGTACCCTGATTCGGCCAATACAAAGCCTCTTGAAAAGCTGTGCTATGACCCGCATTGACCAAATCACGTGTTCAAACTTGGGCAGAACGTGCAACTTAAGGGAATAAATGCCAGGCCTCTGGAAAGGACGTGGACCTCAGGGAGGGCGTGGGAGGTGAAAGGGCCCTGGGCTGTATCTTTGTCTCGGCGCTACCGTCCGCGGCTTGTATCGTACATCCTGGGAAGCTCATTGGCTTTCCCACTCCCTTTCCTACTCCGCAGACTAAGAGGCCTGCACAAGTGGTTGCTGACTTTCTTTCCACCGAGCATCATAACCTACTGTGTGTAAGGGCAGAGGAAGAGGGTTCTTCCCTGCGGAAGTGGCTCTGGCTGCGGGGTGGTCTGGGTCCTGGCACCCATCTGCTTATTTTCCTGCAGCCCCCAGGAAGGAGCGCAGGCAGCCGCCCCAGAAACCCTAGGACTCCAAGGCAAAGAGCTCAAAACAAAACACACTGGTTTAGGTCAGTGGTTTTCAAAACTTTTACTAACAGAACCCATTTTACAACTAAAATGTTATTAAGCAGGATCCTAATCTACAAACCAGATGAGTGTCATTTCATTAGCATACACTTAGTTAATAAATTCAAATCTATACCACTTATTTACTATAAAGACATTCCTGGATAACCGAGAAAGGCCTCTGATGCGAACAAAACTTTTCACCGCCTAGCGGTGCCAGGCGAAGACTCAGTTCAGCCTCAGCGATGCATTTATTTCTGTCTCGTGTTAAAGTTGGACAGCATCCCCAAATCCTGGTTCACCCAGAAGAGGACGGGCAGCTGGTGCCCTTCTTTAAGGGCACGCTTCACGATCCCGGCTGACTCTGCAGCGGATGTAGCAGGAGAAACGGGAGGGCCCCGTCTGCAAGGTCACCTTCAACTCGCCGAGGCTGAGTGCCTAACACAGCTGAGGATTCACTTTTGTTCCAAGTTTTAAAATAATTAAAAGTGTATTTACAAGTGCACTTAGAATCCACCCTTGCAGAGCCTCTGAAAACAGTGTCTTTGGAATCCTAGCGTTTCCCAAAATGCAGGAAGCCACCGGCCTTGCTGATCGCGAAGCTTCCGTGAAGCTCTTAAGATTCTACAGCTCGGGAAGGTGAAGCAGCCCTGCGCTCTGAGAAGCTATCCGTCTACTCCATAAAGTTCACAGAGCTTGATGTTTATGTGCAGTTGGCCCTTGAGTGACACGGGTCTGAACTGCACAGGTCCACTCAGACACGATTTCTTTCCAACAATTCCACAGCTGCCCCCCCCAACCCAATCCATACCCCCATATCCACTGACTGTGGGCGCTGAGCGTCCGTGGAGGGTCCTGGAACCGAGCCCCCTCGGATACCGAGGGAAGACAACATACGTATGTCTTTGCTCCGTGTCGGGACACACAGATGAGGCTCTGGGCCCTAAAAGCCATCATTAACGAATGATACATCTCATATTCCCATAACCCTTCCCCTTCTACTAGAAAAAAACAGGCTCAGTAAGTACCTTTTCATGTCCTAAGAATAAAATTTTATTGAAACAAATAAATAGCCTGGGGAATCTCATTACATGACAATAATCAGAGTAAAGAGTTTCCACAGAAAGAAAAAGATGTTTTTCTTTCCTCCTGCTGTTTGGTGGTGATACACACAGAGCAGAAAGGGGAAGGGGAGAGGACGGAGGTCTTCCGGGGTTTCATCTCTAACTGGCCTGGTAGGAATCTGATCTGTCCAGAAACACACAGGCCAAGTGAGCTTCAAAAGTAAGATGCCCTCCCCGTTTTTATTCTTGCTGTGGTTTCAGCGCTAACGAGAGCCTACTGGATTTTTCCACAGTCCACCCACTAATCAGAGACCCAGGAAGATCATGAGTACGAATGCTCAGCTCATCTTGAAGCCAACCCAAATGTGGAATCTGGAGGTGGGGACACACGGCACTCGCTGTGGGGTTTGACAGGCCTGCGTGCGACAGTGATTGCAGATCTCCGCCACGGAGGACTGGGGCAGCAGCAACCTCATTAAACCGGGTGCTTCTGGGGTGAGGGCTCATAACTAGGCAGTTAAGTAGTTTAATAGACCACAACTTCGACAGCGGAGAGATCCTCTACGTTTTCGGTAGAGTCCATGTCTGAACGAATTCTACTGACGAGCTGAAGAGTCACTAACTCTTGAAGGGCCCTGTCAACCCCGGACGCACGTCAACCCCGGCCGCACGCCGCAGGGCCTCAGCACCTACCAAGAAAAGAAAACTTACTTACTGTCACACTTCATCCCCTGGTGGATGAGTCCGTACAGCAGCGACCCACAATGATCGCAGAAGGTGGGGCTTCCATAGGTGTGGATCTTGAATTTGTGCTTGCTCCTGGGGTCCTGAGGGGAGAAGCAGCACACTGCATCAGTCACGGGGAGACCACACCTGGGGACCAGGCCCGCCTCAGGCCCGCCCTTCCCGCCTCCACAGCAAGGCTCCAGGCGCCAGACTGTGTGTGCACGGTGGGCTGAGGTCACACGACGGGCAGGGGCACCTCTGCCGCATCGTGTTTTAAGAGGCTGCCCGTTCCGGGCTGGGCACTGGATGCCCACGTTCCCTCTCTTTCCGGGGTGTAATCCGCACACAGCGGGGTTTCTCCCACAGCTACCACTTCTGGACCCAGAGCCATCAAGGTGCCCGAGGGTGAGCAGAGCGGTTCAGACACCGCGGTCTTGCCGCATCCCCAGGGCCCAGCGTGGGCTGTAGCAGGCACAAAATCAGGGTGTATCCGTGAAGCTGAGCTGAGTGACCCTGGAGCCATTCAGCAGACTGGGCCATTTCCTTTAGGGCGAGGCTTCCAGGAATATACTCTAAGACCAGATATGCACCCAAACCCATGGGGACGTCTTCCTGCTTCTGCACCATTTCCAAAGCATCATATGCACTTGCAGAGGGAAACTTCAGTGTAATCAGATGAACACTGGAAATGCCCGGAAGCCCCCTCCCCTAGCCCCCGTGGCAATTCATCTCCTCTAGCACCACGCAGATGACTGAAGGGACAACTAGGCAGCCTTTTTCCAAGTAGCGTTTTGTTCCTCAACCTACAGATAGATTATAGACAAGGAAGCATAAATCCCATCTAGCACACAGCAGTAATGACAGAGCACGGACTCTGCGGTCACACTGCCTGTGCTCAAATCCCACTTCCCTTCCTTCCCAGAGGCATGACCGTGGGCAAATTACTCATCCTTTCTGCCCCATCTACACACCGGGAAATTAACAGGACTTGTCTTATGTGGTTGATATAAAGACAAAACAAGTCAATCCTAGTGAGCTGCTGAGAAGGGAAAACCCACGTAAAGCAGTAGCCCCTCTGCTTCCTGCACCTCTGTTTATTAATACGTAAAGCAGAGCACTGAGCTGAAGGATCAACACATCCTATTTGAGCTGTAAAACAATTTCATCCTCAACATGTCACATCAGAACCCTTCCTCATTCGATTCCTCCTCCCAAACCATTCTCTGTGGCCCGAGCAGGTACCACTGTCTGAATGAAGGAAGATGCCAGGGGAGCAGGGTTATGGGGAGGAGAAACCACGAGCTCCACTACAGACAAGGGAAGCCTGGGGTGTCCTTGATGTGTCCTTTACTCTGGGGCTTCTCCAATGCAAAGATACTCAAAGAAAGATATGCTTGGCTTCTGACTTTCTAAGAGCCTGGGTGCTGGTGATGTGAGGGAATTCCAAAGGTGATCGTGACTTCATAAGATAACTGACCTTCTGGGTGACACTGGAAACTAAAATCTAAGACACATACCGACCAATGAGTTATTTTGACTACTTTTTAAAGATAAAAATTTTAAAATTCTGGAATATTTTAATCATGCAGATTAAAATAGTATGAAGAATAGTAAGTCAAACGCTCACGTAAACTGGATAAATGTTAGCATTCCTCCGATCTGTCACTGTATTATTATTATTATTATCATCATCCTCCTCATTCTGCAGAGATGGTAGTGTTCTTCCAAGTCTTGCGGCCAGTGAACATCAGAGATGGGATCTGACCCGTAGCTGAGGCTTTAACACTGGTTCCCATCCGAGAGCTTTCAGAAATCCACCCAGAATGAGGCTCTGACTCCTAACACCTTTAAAAATTTTTTAATTTTTGCAACACAATTTTTTTTTGAAATGAGAACACCACCTGTTTCTTGTAAATAAAGTTTTACGGAACATAGCCGTGCTCGTTCATTTACGTATTTCCTGTGGCTACAATGGCAGAACTGAGAGACAGGACCTGCAGGCCCACAAAGGCTAAAAGGCTAACTGGCCCTTACAGGAAGTCTGCCAATCTCTGCTCTAGGACCGTGGCTTCCACAGTATCGTCCCTATACGGCACTAGCGTCACCTGAAACTTGTTAGAAATGAAATCATTTAGCCCTTCCCCAGACCAACTGCATCAAACTCGGTGGAGGAGGCCTCAACACGCCCTGCAGGTGAGCCTAACGCTGGCAGGTGCACAAGACAGAGAACCACTGCTTTAGAAGGTTCCTCCACAAATATTTAGTAAGTGCTTAATGGGTGCCAGGTGCCTACGTGTGTAAAGGATTGACACAGGTCACTGGTTTACTTTGGAAATGTCTCTTGGGGTGAGAAAAATCCACACCTTCCTTGGGAGGTAACTTTTCCAGCCAGTAGCAGCTGTGAACATGGTCTGAAGTGTGGGCTTAGCCTTCCACCAATTTCCCCAATATCCCAGGATGCTGGGCAAAATGTCAAGGGCACAGGCTGGTGTCAGTACCAATTAAAAGTTCCCAATGCAGATAGTAAAGGTTGTGTCCTACCATGTGAGGGCAAAAAGGAGGCCAGGGGGAAGGACAGCCTGTTCTCCCTGCAGGAGGACAGCATCAACCATCGGCGTGAAATAAATCCAGCGTGGCAGCTCCCACACAGCCCCCGGAGCCTGGGCGCACGAGGCGGTCCCAGGGCAGCTGTCCTGCCAGTGGGCTGTCACATCGATCTCTGTTGACGTGGCACCCGGGGAACCTGCTTCACTTTTCAGGAGGACCTAAGGCTTGCTCATCCAAGCCCATGTGGCATCTTCAGGCTCTCACCTTTGGAGGTACAGGAGAGAGCTGCCCCTCCTGGATGTGGCTGGAGAAGGCCCAGGTTCTCGGAGTCTTTACACCCTAAAACTGTGCCAAGGACGGTGCCTACGATAACAATGGCAATAACAACACAAACACCCACCTGCTTGCGGACCATCCCTGTGTGCGGGAGCGTTATGAAAACCATCCTCTCTCCTATAATAAAGCCTTTACCACGGTTCTGGAGACCTGTGTTCCGACTCCACCTTGATACAAGCTCAGCAGCCATTTATTTACAAAGCAGAAATAAACCTAGTCTGCCAGTGTCCTAGCCAGGGGGTGAGGGTGAGGGAACATGTGAGAAGGGGCTTTGCAACCTGAAAGACCCCTGGATGAAGGCAAGGGAAGATTACTTCCAACAATAACGTCATCGTCATAAACTCCAAGGTGTCAAAGGTTTCCCAGCAATACTCCAGGGACCTGGGCTCACAAGGGGAGGGAGGAGAAAGCTAACGGGCTCCGGTGCCCACAGGCGGCTGGAGGGGAGGCCACGTTGGCAAGAAGGCACAGAACTCTGTGGCCCTGAGTCCTTCCGCTCCGCCCTGGACTCGCCCTCCAGGGCAGCGCCTGTGAGACAACCTGCCCATCCAACCTGCCCGGGCATCACGGCGAGTGGCCGCGACCACCTCCTGCGGCGCAGAAATGAACTCAGGAGCACGGGTGCTCTTCCTGGTCTGATCTCACCTCGTCTGACAAGAGAAGCCAGTGTCAGCTGAAGGGCTGTGACTTAGTGGAGATTTGCAGAGAGCAACTGCTCTAAAAATCAAACTTCCCGGATCTCTGATTTTCCATCAATAGCCAGTAACTTCTTTGGGCCCCAACTTCCTCATCTGGACCCCGAGGGTGCTGGTTGGATCGGGACCTTCCCCGTGGGATTTTGGGGAGCCCGACAGAGGAGTCGGGACGTCCTGTGGGATGAGGGTGGGAGAGGGAGGCTGCTGCTAAAAGAAAAATTTGAAAACAACTGGAATAGATGATCTCTTTGATCCTGTCTTGCTGTTAAAAAGAAAACAACCAACTTTTCATTTTTTATTTTGCAATAATCGAAGACTCACAAGAATCTGCAAGAAAAGTACAGACCGTCCATGCACTCCTCACCCTGCTTCCCCCACTGATAACATCTTACACGAGCGACCGTGGTATGTCAGCAAAACCGGGACACGGACACTGCTGCAGAGATGTGAACTAAACGGCAGGCTTGGGAGTTTCACCAGGTCTCACGTGCAGAATTCCCAGGCATGGACTTTTATTGTACAACTTACGAATTAAATGCTCTGTTTACTGAATAGGGAATACAGTAATATTTGCTGGGTAAATACCATTAAGTCAAACAGGACACATTAAGTCAAAAGTGCATCTGTCGTTGGTTCATCAAATATGTAACTCACTGGATCTCATGGGAAGGGGTCCTGGGAGAACGAGTCTCAAGACTGATCTGAAAAGTAGAATCAGATTGCTCTTCTCTACGCGTAGGAAGCATGTGCTGTTTCTAAAACGTTCTGATCAGTTTTTCGAAACAAAAGCATTTCAAGGCACAGGCCAACTGAGGGATCCTCCGAAGTGTAGGGCCAGCCACGGGGCCTGGGACAGTGAAAGGTGTGTCAGCCATGGCTTCCAGGTGATGCTGGTAACCTGGATGGAAAGATAGGACCCCAAGGCAGGAGCTGTGCCCTGCGGGCTCCAAGATGGGCTTCCCCACAGCTGCTGAGTGAATCACACAAACAGTGCCTGCCGCGGCGTCCCCAAGAGGCTCCGTGTGGCCGGGGAGGTGTGCGCAGAGGAGCTGAGCCTGAGGTGCCCGAGTGTCACTCGCCCTCGGGGAGTGAGAAGCAGCGTTTGATGGACGGGACCCGAGGGGTCTTTCTGACATCTATAAACCTCGATGTCCAACCCTTCCACTGGGGAAGCCCCAGGTAGTACCCTGGCCCCTCTCACCTTGTTTTGGGTGTTCCCTACTCCTGGTCTAACCATCTTCTGCCAACACCCCATCTGCCGAAAACACCTTAAAAAGCAACAGCGAAGGCTGCTTCGTCCTGCAGGAAGCCGCCCCAGATGCTGGGACCAGGCGCGCTTTCAATCTTTCCTCTGGCCTTCCAGAGTGTTTTCTTTCTTTTACCTGCCACTCATGCAGACAGTTATTCCTCTACCTTCCCCCCCCCCCATCTTCTCACCATTTACCACCAACCCCCCAGCCCCTGCCAGAGGACAGACGCTGAGGGCTTTAAAGAGATTTCCTAAGGCACACTGCTGAATTTGC